TGCCCCCGACGCGGGGTCCGTTAACCGCTCCGCGTGGGTGCGGGGATCCCGCGGGTTCGCCCCTCGCCAGCCGGCAGGAGCCGCTTCCCCCGGAGCGGTGTCCACCCGACGGGGCAGGCCGCGGTCGTTTCGCACGACGCCTCCCAGCATGCGCAGCCATGGCAGAAAGTACAGAAAGAAAAAACCATTTATTCGTTTGTAAATAGCCGGCACCGTAACACGAGGCGTTCGGACACAGAACCCCGCCTGGGCGCCTCCGTTAGCCTGGGCAAGCGGCAGGCTTCAGCGGAACTGGAGAAAGCTCTGCCTCCCCTCCGCCACGGCTGAGGAGCGCATCTCCCATCACAGCGCGGAGAGCAAGCAGGCAGATGATTTTGCCGGAGACCACAGCGGTATCTCCTCTTCAAGCCAACAGTAGCCCAGTGTAGAACAAACCGAGTGACAGAATGGGGTGCAGGCCCTATCGGCGTTTGTGCCTCCAAATTCTAACCTCCGTGTGATGCCTAACAGGACTATACACAAACGGCTAAAAAAAAAAAAATTGCTAACCAAATAAGAGCCATATTTCTGTAGTGAAAACAACGCTCAGCTTACCAGGCAGTGGTGTGGGGGCTGGGGGAAAAGCCTCTTCCAGAGGTGGGTGCGGGAGGCCCGGCCAGGCGTAGGCGCAGAGACCGGCCCCTAACGGGAGCGTTACACAGGGCCCCAACCGGCAGGCGCTGGTGGGATCTGGTGCGCTACCCCCGCACAAGGCATCCCCGCCCAAGGGCCTAAGGCATCGGGTAGTGCTGAGGAGGGACAGGTCATTCCTGAAAAGGCACTGTTCTAATGACATCGCTTTATCCAGAGGAAGGGTTTGTAAGATAACCCTGATGATTTACACTCCCATGGGTCAAGGAAGACAAAGAATACAGGGCTGACCTCTAACCAGGGCAGCGAGAGTTTCTCTCATGTCACCAGTGACATCTTCCCTACCTACAGGTCTATGGGCAACATATAAATAAAGTGCAGCAAGGCTGTTAATGCTCCACATGAACAGAGAGCAAGTTAAGACCTAAATGTGCTTGTATTTTAGACGATTGATTTCTTTGTGTTTTAATTATCTTGCAAAAACTGAAGCAAGTCTGCATTCTGCACTCTCCATGCACTGCTGGGGTTAATTTTCCCCGTGCAGCCTCTCACATTCTGCATCCAAGCTTGCTTCAGTCGATAACTTTTGCCAGTGAATGCAGCAGCAAAGGGACAGCTTGTCAGGAAATAATTTAGCTTTTATCTATTTGATTACAGCATTCTGCTTAAGATGGGCTTTACTAGCCCAATTAGACAAACGGGTGTTCCAAGCATAAAAGCATATCGAAAGGGTCAGCCGGAACGGCCGTTACCTAACCAGAGCATTAACTAACCTCAGTCAATACTCATAGCAATGAATAAGATATTTGGGAAAAATTAAGAAAGAAATGCCTATGATGAACAGCTTCCCATCACCCAGGCAGCACACCAGGCATCCTTTAATCCTCCCCTCCACAGAGTCGGAGCAGAACTTTCCTATAGTCCCCTGAGCAGTCTCCCTAGAGAGAAAAGAACAAAGGAACGCAGTTAGTTTTACGGCTCCGTACAAGGCTGGATTCCTCCCAGCACATACGATTTGTTGCAACGTTTGTATCCTCTTTCAGGATTTAAGAACTAAGAACATTCAGGAACGTTTTCAGTACATAAATGTAAAGTCTCCTTAATTCCAGCTCCTCAAAAATACCCAAGAGGTGTTGAGTGGGGACCTGTCTCCTTTAAGCTGCTTAGCAAATCCAGCTCTTTGTTTCCAACACTGAAAAGCTTACCTTAATGAAGGAGTAGAGCGATTTCCCATACATGGTCAAGAATTCCCTTCTGATATCCAGCAGATCTATTTCAGAGCGGGACACCATCACTCGGATCAGCGTGTTGTCATCTGTTCCCAAGCCCTAAAGACGGAAACCAACCATGTACAACTACAAAGCCTTTTGGATGAATCAGTGACAGACAGAAAGGTTTTATCACTTGGTCTTCTGTGGGATCTGTTCCTACTCAGAGCATTTTTGCATCAGTGGAGTGATCCACTAGCAGCTCGCTGCTGGGCAAGAATATTGCTCTGAGCTTCCTGAGGGAAGAGAGGTCCATATAAAAGCTCAGAGTTTTTTTGCTTTCCCCAGTTAACGGCAGAGTTTCCCTTTATCTAATGATCGCTGTCAAGCTACTGACTCAAGCATGGAAAGGCAAGGGAAATACAAAAATAGCAATCTCACACCGAAAGCTCTTTACCTTCATGGATTTATACAATCTTTCAGCAAAATATGCAGGTTTATTTCGCATGCACTTTACTGCAAGGGAGAGAAGAACAAGAGAATTAAGGTCAATAAAAACTGAAGGAGAAGGTCTTCCAAACCTTTACAGCACTTTCTCAGTGAAGGCGTTTATTCTGTAAAGATGCAATTCAGGGCCAAAACCCCCCAAGTACAATGCAGACATCCACAGTCAGTGACCTGCTGTAAACTGATGTCTCCGTGCACAGTAATATTTTCTTTAAGGCTTTAATGCTTCCTGACAGCAAATGTCAGCTACCAAAGCATCAGTTGGGAAAGTAAACAATATCATAAAGCAGAGAGCTTTCTCACACGATTGTATCTGAAAAGAGTAAAACACTGTGGCTTGCAAACAGTATCTGCCTCCTGAAGATATGTAAACAGCCAGCGAGGGCAAGTACAATATCTCTAATTATTTAAGTTACTCTGTAGACAAAGTTCAAAAGCAGGGCACTCACCCACGGCTAACAAAGCATCTTCGAGGTCTCCTGACATCTCAGATTTAATGCTGTCTGTTATGTCCTTATCAGCAATCCCTCTGTACAGATCAAAAACTAGGAGGAAGAGTCAGGGATAAAAAGAGCGAGTGAGATGCTTCAGGGCACACAGTGTGTAAACCACCAAGGATCACTTTGCAAGATCAAGCTCCTCATACTCTGTATGAACATTGTACCATCATTGTGACATCCTAAGCTAAATCAGGGCTGTCCCACAGAAATAATTATCTTTAATTATCAACTGTCTTGCTAATTGGCCTACCACTGCTGCTAGCATTTTCAAGAACTGCTAGTTAATGACGGCAGTTTAAATGCTTAGCTCTGCCCCAATGGGAGTCACACTTCATTATCTCCAATTTACAGGCAGGAGCAAGTCCTACTGATGTTTTTCTCAAGTCCCTTTTTGTCTCAGGAGGGAATAAAATTGAATGGGACTGGGCTCTAGGACACCTGCTGTCTCAGGAAGAGTTCACAAGCAGTTAATGAACAAGTACAAAGCTCCTACAAAAGTCTCGTACTCAAACAAGGAAAAAAATCCAGGACATGGCAGCGGGTCCTACCTCTTAGTAGGTGGCATCTGTTCCGTGTACAGAGGATGGCCATAAATTGTACTTCATCTGTTCCCCATTTCTTCTCCCCAGCTTCATACAGGCACTTGAAGACATTATGAAGAGACAAAGTAAGGCTAATTGAGAAGAGCAGGTGCACATAACATGAGATTTTTACTTCCTTGGTGCTTGAGCACTGCTGGCCTGTGCCTTGTCTAGATAACAGCTATTTTCCAACAAATACTAACCAAGCACAGCAACTCTCAACTGACATGTCATCTCCCCTCCCAAATACCCAGCCTGCCTAGAGACCTCTCACCACAGAGTTGCAAAGGAGGCTAGAACCGTTACCCCCACTTCACCGGCTGAGTCAGAACAGCGAAGAGGCTTCTCTAAGGGTCAAGTCTGAGACTAGAGCCCGGGTCTTCACCTAGGGTGCTGCTGTCTAGCATAGCTTCAGGCTTACTGCTCTACCTTGAAAAAAATGAGGTCTAGAAAAAGCAAGGATTCAACACGCATCACACGTACAAGAGCAGTCAGTTCTTGCAAGGAAGCAAATTGCTACACACCTGAGCATCTTGCTGAGCGAGGGCTTCATCCACATACATTCCCTCATCTCTGTTTCCCTGCAGAGATACAAGGATGAGAAACTCATTTCACCAGAGCAACTAATGGAAGCAAGTCCTGCAAATTCCCCATTCAAAACAAGTTACTGGAGAGGCCTAATGGGATCCTTAACATTGAATAGTAGCTTACAAATACAGCGAAATATGGCTCAGATGTGGTCTGTGCTTCCTTTTGAAGTGAGCAGCAATCCACTTTAACTGGGCCATTTTAAAAAGAGCACATGGCATTAACGCATACCCAGAGTCAGACTCCTCTCCCTGCAAAAGCTGGGTGTGAAATGCAGGCGAGGCGAAATGCAAGATAAGTGAAACAAAAGCCAGCCTGAAACACCTCATCACTGAAGTCGGAGGCGTGTCCATCAGCAACAGGAGGATTCATCCCCATTTCCCTTAGCCTGGACTTACTGTCGCGAGGGACACAAGGACTCTTCGAAACATGGAAGATGTGTCAGAGACAATGTCCTCCTCAAGGGTACGGCCATATTCTAGCAAGGGCACACACACATTTGACATCTGTTAGTAACAGGTCCACCACCTGGACACCGTTTGTCCACAACGTTTGCCAGCCGCAAGCTAGGTAAGTATATAACTGTGCTCAGGGCTCTAAACATCATCATAGCAGTCCAGCCATCATATTTAGTGCTACAGGCCAAAATTAGGAAGTACAGCCAGTATAATACTGGCAATAGATCCAGACAGGGACAGACACCCAACTGATACACATAACCACCCCATCCCGTTTTATTTACACCGATTCAGTTTTGGGTGAAATTCTAATCCTTGAGGCTGTTGGCAGTCCTGCTGTTGACACCCGTTTAATTCAGAGGTTCTCTCTGGACAAATGGCAATAGCTGTTTTGGCCGACTTGTCACATTTTAAGGCTAACAGACCCCCCTCCTTCCTCTGCACATGTCCATGCATACACACAAGTGGCTTTTCAGACAGCACGATAATGGCTTGCAGTTTGCACTACATACGAAGTTTGTAGTTCTCATTAATGCGCCGAATCTCTTCGTTCGTGCGAGAAGCCAGAATTTCAATCAGGCAACCTTCATCTGTTCCTCCACCCTAGGGAATTGCAAAGACAAGATCCAAGATTATAATGACAACTGTTTTGATGTGCAACTAGGATTTTTTAATAAGTTAATAATAAAAAATTAATAATAAAGGTATAATTATGCCATATCATACTAAGTTGATCAGAACTTAAGCAACGTAAAAGGAAGATTTCTGAACCTTCATAGCCCTCCGCAGTTCATGCACGTCGTACGTGGTGGTAGGAGTCATCATACCAATGATGACCCTTTCAAAATTCCCACTCAGCTCAGACTTCAGGTCATCAATCAAATCCTGGAAGACAGAGAGAAGAGAGAGGAGTTGGGAGAAGGTACAGCCTTTGGGGACAGAAAGAACTCATTCACCACTTTTCTTCGTGCTCCAGCCCTCCTTGGACGAACAGTTGCTCTGAAGTGAGCAAGACCAAAATAAACTTGGCCAAGGAAAGATTGTGCTAACCTTACTGTCACGGAGACTAGGATGTTGTTCACGTTTCACCCAAGCGATATAACCCCAAAATTGTCTGCATCTCCCAGTTAAAGCCACAGTCACTAATCTCTGAAGACCACCTACCCTGCCAATACTGCTTTTATAGGTGATCAGAACTTGCTGACGTTGGGAAACGTTTAGTTTGGTCAAGGTCTCGATGATGGCATCTTCATCTGTGCCTGGAAAAAAACAATGGAAACCAGTCAGGCTGCTTGCACAAGAACTGGAAGCATGCTCTGGTCTTGTCCAGAGCGTGCCATCAGCTGCCTTCTGTTCCTTACCCAACCTGCCAGTGGGGCAATGCAAATGGCTAGACTTCCCCTCTAATAAACCACCAGACAAAACGTTCCCAATGCTCAAGGGGAAAAACAGAGGGTTTAACAGTGGAGGGAGACCAACTTACCAAATCCCTTCATAGCCTTCCTTAGTGCCTGTGCTTCTTGCTCCGCACTGAAACTGGAGACCCCCTTGATTGTTGCCTAAAGCCACAGGAGAGGAGTTACCAAAGGCAAACTCAAGTGATACATACATACAGTAGAGTCGAATTAGAAAAAATACTTCAAAAGATGCAAACACAGTGACAGCAAGTAAAGTCCACCCACCAAACATGAGTGATTTTATATCAGGCTTCCATCCTACCCTAAAGAGAAAGTTTGTTCTAGAGGGACTTCCCAGCCACATAAGAAATAAGCCACAGGGACACAACTAAAAGGAGAAAATATCTTCATATAGCTGCCCATGGAGTAACTGGTTTCCAATTAAATAATGGCAAGCAGCCTGACATCTCTGTTCAGTCCAGCTGGGGCTTCTTCCCAGCAGTTTTCCATGTAAATCACAGGAGAAGCTGTTCCCATCAAGGCCCTATTCCTGACTTCTCCAAGAGCAGCCAAGGACCATCATTCTGTAAAATAATGCACCAGGGAGTGCAGTGTTTCGCTCAAAACAGCGGTTCACAAACAGGTTTCTCCTGCCTGCTGTCCAGTGCCATTTCTGGGGGACTACGCTGTCTCTTACAAAGCTCTCTCTGTTCCCATGAAAATCGTCATCAAAACACTGCTTAACATTCAGGTAGGTTAGGCTTTCTGAAACAGGCACAGGGATAGCTACCATATAAATGGCTACCTTGCAGGTTGAACCTGGAAAGAATAATACGCCCAGGAAATTTATCTGGAGAAATTCGTGCTCTTTGAACTAATATCTGATCGGATTTTCCATTAACTCCCCAAATGGAAAAGCCCGTATGCGTGGGTCGTTGTTCTCTAGCATGAGGAAGCAGAGAGAAGCGATAAACTCACCCCCCCCAAAGGGACAGACAGTGACAGCGTTCTTCCTGCTGCGTCCTTATCTGAGCTACGCTCCCCACGTTTATCTGATCAGAGCAAGTGCTTGGCACAGCATGGTACAGAAAACATGCACACTCACCATCGCCCTCGTATTTGGTCAATCTCTTATTGTCTGACTCCCCAGGCAGTTAGACAACTGTAATAAAAAACAGGGAGCGTTCAGTTTTCTAGCAAATAATTAATAGAATATACTTTAATGGGGCTGGTTAAGTAACCATCTAATTTCTCCGAGGACTAAAAGCAACACTTGAACAGCCCTACTGAACACCCATAGCAGCATCCCCGAGTTTCCAGTCCTGCTTTTCACTGCACGAACAAAGGCCCGCTTGCAACAGCACAGGGCCAGGGTGTTCGCCCTGCCTGAAGGAGGGATGTGGTGCACAAGCAGTGATTAGCATTAGTAATTTAAGAAATTTCTTTTCTATTGCTAGTGTGACAGCCTGGCTGAGGCTACAAGGAGAAGCAGACAGTGGTGTCCTGGGAGCAAAGAAAATAGACTTGATTCCCGTGCCCTTCAAAACACATGGCTTTGACCTTGCCAGGGGGGAGCCTGAGGGTGAATTAGGGTGAGGGTGCCCGCAGAGTCCCAACAGCCTTCACAGCTGCTCCCTGGGAGGCAGGGACAACATCAAGGTGTCGATGAGCATGCAAAGGATAACCTCACTTGAAGACTGGGACAGGAGAATTATTTTCCCTCTGCTGTATTCAACATCTCCTCAGTTTGGTGCAATGTGTAATTCCGTGTAGGCCTGCAGTTTTAACTGACTATTAAAGCCCTCAAAAAAAAAAAAAATATAGCTTACTTGCCATCTCCCCAGGGTTATTTTTTCTGCTCATAATTTTGTTTTCATGCATAGGGCCTATGCACGAACGCACCCAGAGTATTTTCCCACATCCCTGGTCAGTTGACAGGATGTCAGGTACTAAGACAAGGTTCACTTCCCTGCAACTCCAGTTCAATACAGCACGAGCTGAGGTTCTCGCATTAAAGCCCTGAAGTCGAAGCAGTGACGCCGGTGGCTGACAACATCTCTCCTTAATCCTGCTCATGGTGCTTAATAGCCGCTATCCGTGAGCCCAGCCAGTTGTGCAAGAACCGGAGCGCCTTTGCTCATGCTTCACATGACTCTTACAAATCCGGAACACCATCAGAGGGTGCTGTTCAGGCAAGTTAACTGGCAGTGTGACATTTGCCATAGATGTGTTACGCACAGGCCCTCCCGAGTGTCCACATCATCTATACGTTACTACACCCTGTGCAATCAGGCAGCATATGGGAAATTACGAGTGTTGAGTTTGCTTTCTTTCATCTGATTATAGACTTCCGTGGTCAAATTATGACCTAGACCTCAGAAAAGTCATCTCTGCTCTTTTACAGAAATATAAAGCCAACTTTGCTTGCTTTAGCCAGGCACTAAATAATGGCTTCGAATTTCACAGATGTTTTTCTGATGCAGTTTTACCATTCAGTTGGTTTGTACACAGAAGCAGGAATATTAGACAGGCTGGTTTAGAGGGCAAAAGAAAGGTCAGTAAACAAGGAAAAAAGGGTGGGAGGCAGAAAAATTCTTAATGCAAAAGAGCTGGCAGAAAGAAACCAAAGCATGAGGAAAGGTTGTGTGTACTGGATTCAGGGCAAATGCTCCTGCAATATCAAATTACAACAGAAATGTCACATTGAATATTGACTGCAAGATTTCAATTTCTTCACCCAGCTTAAATGTCACTGGGAATACAAAGAGTAGAGCACTGCAAAAGGCAGCAGCACTAACCCCACGCAATCTGCAAACGCTGTTTTGTTCCCAGTGTATTTCTGTGTGTGGTGCCCCAAGAAACGAGCCCTGGAAGTTACAGGTGGAAGTGCTCAGCAGTCCAGCCAGGTTCTCCAGCAATGGTCCCTGCCCCTGTAACCCTCTTGCTCCCTTTCACAGGTGAAGGTGTCCCCATGAACAGCTCAGGCTGGGGCATTAGATGAATAAAACTCTCCTAGCCACACCTTTTGCTAGTAGAGAGAGAAAATAATTGCTCAGTCAGATTTGCCAGCGCTCTGCAGCTTAGCGCAGTTCCTGGCCTGCAGCTCAAATGGGGAAAACCAGCTTCAGGATAGGAGCAACGCAACTCCGTGTTTCGAAGAATGCACGCAACTCGAATTTGCGTGCAATTTCGAACTCTATGCATGCAAAGAGGCAGCTAGCAAGTGCTAAAGTGCCCTGGCTAATCCCTGTCCTGATGCTAGTTGCTTCATCCCAGAATAAAGGCCTGAGCTAGCTGATCCAGTAAACCTGGCATAGAACAGGCTCAAAACACTGTGGCCAGATGACAGCGTGCAGGTATACGAGGCGTCCCTCCCATTATTCACGTTTTCCATGGATGACCTTTTCCTGGCAGGCTTTATTGCCTAACCAGGCACTTATAAGTCCACACCAATGTCCTCTAAAAGCTGAATCCAGAATAAATTTCATTTATCAGAAAACATCTGAAACTATCGTGTGTGATGGCGAACTCAAATCTAGGCTTGTTCTGAATCAAGTTTTCCTGACTGTGCACAGCGCGCACACAGCTCCCGGCAAGCAAAGCCCCAACAGCTTAACAGGATATAAACACAGGTTTGGTGGTTTTTTTTTTCCAAGTTTGAGCTCATAGACCTGTTGCCAATCCTATACCTAGGATCCGGAGTGGAAAACCACCATTTTGCGACCCATCCCCTTGCGAGGCAAACATTGGACTTGTTCAACTAGTTCTTTCATTCGGTGCACGTTTACTCAAACACAAACCTGCACCCTGCGCCAGATCAGCTTTTCCGTGGCTCTGCCACCGCCAGCTGTTTCCAGCGTGCTGGGTACAGCCTGCTCGCCCCACAGCCGGCTGTGCCTCCGGGAGGCAGAGTGCCCCGGGGTCGGTCTGGGGCTCCTAGCGGGGTGACTGACCCTGATCCCAGCCTGATTTGCAGCTCGGGAAAGGATCTCCCTTCTGCTGGCCAGCCCCGAGCCAGCTGAAACATCCCAGCACCTCCCACATGATGACCTTTGCCTGGCCACTGCCCTCAAAAGGAATAAAAATATAATACTGAGTTAGCAGAGCCTTGTGCTCCTCAATTCAGCCCGTGCGCCCACCCAAAGCGGCTCCACAAGCGCCCTGCCGTGCCCTCCACGCTCCAGCATCCCGCGGGGAGGACGTGCCAGCTTGGCCACGGGGCACGGCAGAAATAGGAAGCAAAACCTGCGCTACCTGTGTCTGGGAAGAGTCGGCCATCTTCCTCCTTCCCACAACCTGCCTCCCCGTCCTTCCTCACCCCGGGCCCGCACCCCCCAGGGCTGCCCCAATGCCCTACCGCCTTGGCACCGTGGCCCCGACGAGGCGTCCGCCCAGCCAAGGGCTGTCCCGCTCCCGCACAGCCGCACTACCAGCCGCTGCGGTCTGGCGAGCGGGGACGGTGCTTGGCATCTTCCCAGGCACCTCTAGCCATGCAACCCCTTCCCCATGCCAAAGGGGACACCCCTGTTCGCGTGGCACTCACCTGCTGTCCCCAGCGGGTGCCTTGGCAGGGATGAGGCGAGCTTTGCTCCGCTTGCCCTGGATGGCCAAGTCCCCGCCCTGGAGCGGGGTGGGACTCGCTGGCGCAAAGCAGCTTTTCTCCAACGCCTGCCAGGAAGGCGATCCAGCCCTGCTCCCCTCCTCTGCCCTTCCGTAAACAGTTGGTTGTAATCCAGAGCAGGCAGAGATTCCCCAGCAAGCCTCGCGCACATTTAGGAAATGCCCATTTGGATTTACACAGAGGTCCTTGCAAGGAAAGGTGGCCTGGCAGGCTCGGAGGGCTGCCCTGCTCCCCAGCCTTGCCTGTAAAATCTCTGGGAACAGAGGGTCTCTCTGACCGCAGCCCCCAGCCAGCGTCTGATGTCTCGCTTTATGCTGTCGTGTAAAAAGGCATACCCAAGGGGGGAGCGAGGGGGACGACGGCGTGGAGCCCACAGGCTGCAACAGCCGTGAGCAAGAAGTCCTCTTCCTCCCGCCGTGTTGTTTGTGGGGATTTCTTACCTCTATTTTGTCTCCTTTGCTCCCACAGCACCTCTCCAGGTCTTCAGCATCGATCCCCCTTGTCTAAGAACTTTGCATGACAAACAACCGTGATTTCTGAAAGAACGATTATTTTCATAAAGATGATTATTTTTGCCCTAATAAATGGCACCACCCTCAAGTCAAAACACTTCAGGCAAAGGGACTTCAGTTTTACCCCGATGTGACGCTGCCAGGGTCAGCCTTGGACAAGCTCATGAGGCTGACAGAGGGAAATCAACCTTGCAATAATACATATCTTGTCTTCACTGTGTTTATCCTCAGGGACTTTGGTCTCCTCCGATGCCAAAAGTACAGTTATTATAATGGGTAAATCAACCCTCTCCGGTTCTTTTTTCCAGCTCGTGTGACAGTTGTATCTCATCCCTGTGCCTCTTTGCACATGCTCTTTTGCTGGAAGAGACCTAAATTTGGCAGCTCGGATGAATGCAGGCTGTGCTCCAGTGAGCATGTCTGTACAGCTGGCTTATTATAGCTCCCACTGCAGCTCCGTCTCCCAAAAACAACCCCGCAGGGGCCAGCGGGCCAGCATCTACTCACTCCCTGCTGATGCGGGGGGACGTTGAGCCGAGGGTAACAGAAAAACAGGGTTCAAGCCACAAGCACTCGCCTTTTCCATTGCAGCGTCTCTTTCCTTGCAAAATCTGGCACTTTACCCCAGCCAGGGTTCAGTGTGGACTAGTACCCATTATCAACAGTCACTAAGGAGAAACTCTTCTTTTTCCTACATCTGTTAAAGTTTCCATTCTCATCCCTTCCTCTCACGTCAGCTGCCTCCTGCTCTGGGCCCATACCCGCTCATTTTAATCCACCAGCAGGAGAACTGCTGTGTTTCTCCATCTTACGTTGCCTCTGATTTTTTTAGCCTGCATATTTTCAAAAGCTTCATTCTTCTATTTGCTTTCCAGCCTCTTCAACCCCAAGGACTGGATGGCTCTGACACTGAAGTCAATGGTATACGCAACAGTAATTATTCTAGACAATAAGTTATCTTCTTTGGAAGTTATTTAACCTTTAAACATTGCACCAATCCTGCCA